CTGCGCGTTTTTCACAGGAAACTGAGGCCATATTTAACCACCAGCTCTCTGCTCCCACAAGCTGTTACTCAACTTTGCTTATTCCGTGTGTGACTTCTGACCGACCTTTCCCTCCCCGTACTGATCCACACACTTATGTAACCTCAGTGTCATTCTGGACCTCATATTGACAGCTTAGTCCTGCACTGTCCCTCTCCAGCCAGCGCCAGCCTCTCCACTCCGGGCTACAGGGAGTCATGACACAACATGACAGCCTGAGGAAAATGATTGATCCCATTACTGCGTGTGTACCGCATGTTTTGTGCTTCAGCATTAACATAACTGTCAAGTTGGTAGCGACCAAATATAAGTTACATAACCTGTCATGTGTGTGGGTTCAAAACAGTCCTGTCAGCTGATGTTATGTGACCAGTGTTGACTGCAAACCAGGAAAGGGGAGAACTGAAGCACACTTAGCCCAGACTGACAGAGTGCGCAACTCCTCGCTGACCTATTTCTTCTTATCTTGTCATGACAAGGTGAGATTACAATGATACTTGGCTGCCTGACGAGAACTAACAGAATAAACAAGACAAACTTCTTCTAAAGTACAGCTGAGCTGGCAAGTTTTTTTTTCCAGCAGATGCATTTTGAGCTTGTGTCAACAAATCCTACAACAGTATCTGTTTTAATTTGTGATGCTTTGAGTTGCATCATAAATTGTTCAAAAGTAGTAATTAGGTTGAAATTGTTCTCAGCAAACGTCATTCTTTGTGTTATTTTGGAAGAAACTTACTGTTTCTACTGAGGATACACTGAAACGTTCCATTTACCAAATGTAAACGTCTGTCCAAGGGTAACAAATACATCCTAGGGTTAAACACCACAGTTGAAAAAACAGATTTCCCACAAACATGCAGGACATAGTGGACTGCATAAAAGATTAAAGGTTGATTTAGTTAAACACGTAATTATACAAAACATCTGTCACATCCAGACTGTTGACATGGCAGGAAAGAGATGATGCAATGGAGGCCATCTTTGAAACTAGCCACTAAACTGAAAACACATTGTGTCAGACCTCCCTGTGCGATGTGCCCTTGTTTACTGGCAGACATAAGAGCCCTTCATCCTGTGGTGTGCACAGTGTCCAGCCACAATGTGCAGTTTCTCCTTTAGTCTTCAGGCCACCATAACCTTTAACGCAACTCCACCCTGCCCTCTAGTGAACTCTCTTTGCTCTACACCTTCACTGCCATGCTAGAAAAATAATTAACACACAGCTCCATCTGCTGGACAATTTGTGAAGTGCAAAATTAATACAGCGTTCTTTTTTGAAAGTAATGATCATTTCATTTTATTTGTTTTCAAAGCTACATTCACATACATGTAAACATTTGTACTTAAAATATTTATAGAAACTTTAACACCTTTTAACATGATCTGTTTTATGCCATTGTCCTTCTAACCTTTTGTAGATCTAGCGACGTTGAGACAGGACCCCAAGAAACAACAGCTCTCCCAAAAGAGATTATTATAAATACATTCTTGCAGAGACGCAACCCAAATTCACAATCATCCACTTAACCTCGGTGAAGGCTACGTCCTACGTCTGTGTGTAGCGGATAATCTCACTCAGGTCATAGCCTGTCACTGCAAAAGCATAGCCATCGCTGTCGCAGAACTTGGCGCCACAGATTTGTGTATCTGTTACGCACTCATTGTGCAAATGGGTAACCTGAAAGGAAATTGGAAAAACACAAAGACAAGGTTTCATCGAGAGAAAGAGACAAAACATAACCTGGGGAAAAATCATAAAAGCCTTGATCCTACCTCCACGTTGTTTGTCTCTGGGGTCATATTCAGGTGCCACACTCTGACAAGAGAGTCCTCAGCAGCAGACAGAAGCTGAGGCACATAGTATGGGCCATTTTAAAAATGCATTAGTTTGAGATGTAACCACAAAATCACTTCACAAACTTAATCATTTAACGAATTTAACACTTTAAATGATAAATAGCAAAAAATGGCTGAAAAGACATGAAAAATTAAATTTCTTTCTCATCCATTAGGTTTAAACAACTCACCAGTCCAGAATAAGGAGCGATGTCTAATGAGTTTATCCATCGAGCATGGGCGTTGACCTCAGCATGCAGAATCCCCGTCACTGCCTCATAGAGACGTATCTGGCCTGTGCCGTAACCTGCCACCACTGTACCTTTCCACAGCTTGACAGATGAGCAGCTCATGCTAAGAGCAGTGAGGAAGATGGAGGATCGTTGGCATCAGGGAACAGACGGAAAAGATAATGGACATTAGATTAGAGCCAGGAAGGCGAAATGAGAAGGAAACAGGAGGCAGTGGAAAGGAAAACACATTAGAGCACCTAATGTATGTTGACAGATGGGAGAGGATCGGAGGGGGAACTATGAGGAGGAGTTTAAGGTTAGATGAGAGTTTCACATAGCTCACTGTTAGTTGGTTGACAATGCACAAATTGTTCTTCAACTTTATAGTGTGCACCAAAAATGACAAATACTATGATGGAATTAACTTCTTACTCAAAGCCATGGATCTTGTTTAGCAGCTGAAATTCCTCCCCAGACTTCCATACACACAGGTTGCCCCCATCATCTGCACTGACCAGATCAGCGATGCACTCCTGAGGAGAGGTCGACAGGGGACATTTATTTATGTAGTCTGCAAAGTCAGAGGTACCGTCTGTCAATAAAGGTTCAGATAAAAAGGCTGTAGAGTGTACGGACTGACAAAGCACACACACACACACTGTACCTGGCTGCCAGAGCACTCAGAGGCCATGTCAGTGATCGACTCCTTGTGCTCCTCCAGCACCTCAGACAAGGTGATATTACTGCCTTTACTGGGAACGTCAAATACAAGAATTGATCCAGATGAAACGCCTATATAGAAAGAAAGAGACAAGTAGGTTGGCAGAGTTTTGCCCTGTATTGTCAATACAAATGTTCAGTAACTGAAAAATATATTTCACTTCATACTTACCCACACATATATAATTCTCCCAAACTGCTGATATCCCTCGAGCAAACACAGCTTGAGCTGGGACACAAATAGATTCTGTGAGTGCAGTAGATTTGAAAACTCCAGATTCATACTTTTCTCTTGCACAGAAAACTAAACCTAAGTCTTCACTGCCATTTGTGATCCTGTAAATATAGATTTAATAATGTCATTTTTAATTTAATTTAAATAAGCAGGTCCACCCACTGATGTCTTTAATTGTGTTCGTGTCATAAAGATGGATCAAGCACAGCAACATATTTCCAGTAACAATAAAATATGTCACTATTATATCATGTTTCATGCAAATAATTGAGACAGGTCAATCACAGCTTATATGTTAGTTTACCTGTAGTTGTTTCTGGAGTATCCAGCGCGTGCCAGTACACCATGATGGAGCCATCAGATTCATACATCTAAAAGACACAGCTTAAATGTTCTCAATGACTCACCTCACACACACATACGTACATATAACTATAAGTACACAGCAAAAAGAGCCTGCTCCAAATGTGATAATAATCATTGACAGCAGAGAAAAACTCACCTGGATGCCTTTCTGGGAGGTCACCACCAGCAGCTCACGAGATGGCAGGGCACAGAATGCAGCCTGTTACAAGAAAACACAAAATGTCTTTCCTTTTATGATACAGTCAATGATAAGATTCACCCTTTAATATTTGCCAACAACCTATTAGTTTATGTATTTCACAAATGTCCTTCACTGCATCTAAGGGTGTTTGCATCCACACTGTAGTTTGTATCCCTTTTATACACATTCCCCCCAATTTCAAGAAATTGTAGTGACCTAAATCATAACAATGACGGCGGACAATACATTTTTATGGCCAGTCTTCCCCTCTCAAAGCATCACCAAGGAAGATGTGCATCTGAAGATGTTTATGGGTCAAAAGCTTAAGCCACTAACTGAGTGAATTATTAGTACTGTAAGGCTAGTTTATTTAAATTTAAGTTTTCTGTCAGATACAAATGAACAGTGTGTAAATGGTGCTTCCATTCCTACCCTGTCTGTATTGTTATTTGAATGCATTCAGTGTAACTTCAATTTGTTGAATTTGAATGCAGACACTTGGATGACACCTTTTTCTTCTGTTTAAAGAATCGGTCACATTTACTTCAATTGTATTGGATTTGGTTGTTTACCCCTGAAACTCCAAAAGTATGTTATGGTCTCAAACACTTCACCCCCTCCATCAGCACAGTGGTGAGTAGATAATGAGTGTCTTCTCATTTTGGGGTGAACTATCCCCTTAACATCAGACATGGCTGTTCCATTGTTTGTTTTGCAAACAGAGCCAACCAAACAAAAACGACCCACCGTCCAGATGCACAGCCTGCAGGTGCATTTCTAGAAACAAATCCTGCTCTCACTGTGTGAATAGAGAGCAGGACACCTCCATGACACACTGCTGCAGTTGCACCCACCTGCATGATGAGCGACGTGCTGGTGGCGACATTGGGCTCCTTGGACTGCAGCTGGCGGTGCGAGTAGTTGAGTCCGTCCCAGGACGCGCTCACCATGTTGACCACGTTAGCGTGCACCACCGTGAAGTAGGTGAGGCGCCGCGGGGCGATGCGCAGGACGCCGAGGTTGTTGTACAGAGCCGAGGCGCTGTTTTTGATCGGGATGCTCTTCTCCTTGTGATACATCGAGACGGCGGGCGGTGAGGTGTCAGCCTGAGAGGAGGGGAGAGGGTCACTCGCTGAATACTTCACGTTAGCAACAAGCTAACTTATCGGGAGCCAGCCACACAGCAGCGTTTTTAATAAAGAGAGAATACCGTTACTTGTCTGTGACACACGTGTATGTCCTCTTGCTTCCGGTTAGATAACTCACTCTTCCTCCATCCGGGCTGTTGTTTTTGATAATTTCATATAGAGCTAACGCAGACGAAGCACTTCTCTTCAGTGGTTAGCAACAGGATTACCTCCGCGTCCTCCGCAGCCATAGAGACAACGTACGTCCCGCTACGTCCTGCGTCACCACTGCGTGCTCCTGTTGCTGAGCAACCGCAGACTCTACTGAACAGAGGACACAAAGCAGAGTGGTGAGGTTTCAATATCTGAGTTCATAACCCTGTGATTATTTATATTAAACTAATGTCACATATACGCTCGAATTATCTGTGTGGCCATATGTTTAATGAAGATGTTTAATCAAAGCGTATCGTATGTTATTAAGCAGGATGAAACAAGTGGTATTATCTGTTAGTTTCAGTAGTAAGGTTTAAAACAACTTGTCATGTGATACTGATATAATCTGGTTGGTTGGTTGTTTGGTTGGTTGGTTGGTTGGTTGTTTGGTTGGTTGGTTGGTTGGTTGTTTGTTTGGTTGGTTGTTTGTTTGGTTGGTTGGTTGGTTGGTTGGATGGTTTGACCATCAATAATATCACATTCTTCATCATCACAAACCTTTGTTCTTCTATTACATGTATTTGTTTGTTGTATTATTATTATTGTAATAATAATCATTATTATAGCTGTTGTTCACAATCTCAAGCTTGTATGTCCATCTCTGAGACAAGGAGTGGGTGGAGAGTTTCCCCTGTCAGTGGATAGGGGAGGAGTTGGGAGAATATGAGGTTATATAAAGGCTGAGTGTGTTTCAGGTCCGTTGACCTTTGTTTGAGTCCATGCTGACATAAATACCTACATTTGTTCAGCACTGAAACGATGAAGCAGAAGCTTTAGGCTGATGAAGATTTAAAGACCTCTCCTTATTCTTTAGGATATATTACAAAAAAAAATTATCCATCCATCTGTCCACAGGTTTATCAATCCTCCACCATTCTTCAGCCCACTCAATAGATGATTTAATGGCTCTTGGATCCTTCATGCAATGATAACCAAATTCACACCACAAATCCAGTTTGAAATTACAGGACCTTTCATTAGTATTATTATTTGTTATTATTAGTTATGTATTTTTTCCTTTTGTAATTTCAGCCTCTAAGCAAAGATGCCCCGCTCTGCAGTCAAGTCCCAAGCCGGCAAGAGTAGACGTATGTCACCTGTCCCAGTGACCCCACTTCCAACGCAGGAGCTGGAAATTATTCCTGGTCGCTTAACCCAATCCCAGTGGATGAATATGCTGATCCAGGAGGAAGATGATGAGATAGTGGGGGAGATTATGGATGAACTGTTGAGCAAAGTTATGGATGGCTGTTTGAAGGTGTACGTTGAAAGACAGGTAAAAATGTGAAGGTCCACATTTGTTTTATTTTGATTTTACTTCAGTGTAAACATTTTACCACTTTATGAGATAATACAACCAAACATAATACATGCATATGTAACATCCATGATGTTGCTTATATTTGCCTTTCAGCTAGTACCTTTTACCGCATCTTGGGCCAAGAACTACCTTACACAGATTTTAGAGCAACAAATCATGTGCCCAGATGAGGGAGAAGGACCAGAGGTAGCATCTAAAACTGAGGACTCAGAGCCAATGCCAGCAGTCTGCGATGCCTGGGCTCAAGGATGTATGCCTGTTGTCATTGCTACTCCTCAATTATCTCACCCTACTTCTGCACAACAGGTATGCTACTATCGATAGGTCTTCCTTGTATCCATATGTGCCGTATATCAATGTCTGTATTTACATTTTTCACAGGAGGCTGATGTTGTTCAGGTCCCAGCACAAACAGGGCCAGGAGTTGACCAGCAATGTGACGTAATGGCCCAAACAAACAGCTCTCCAAAGCAACCTGACAGGGAAACAAGTCCCAGGAGGCCTGTCAATAACAAGCAATGTAAAGTGCTTATTCCTCTGCCCCCACCAAAAATTGATGTTAAGAAAAAGCAGCAGTTAAATTTTCCTCCTAAACCTGTTCCTAGTAAATTGCCGCCCATTCCGTCCTGTTCAGCAGTTAAAAAGGATGTGGAGATAGAGGTTAAAAGTGGAGTGTATTCGATCTATAACAATATGGTTGGACCATTTTATCAGTCTAAGGAATATCAATCCATACCAAGACTTGATCCCTCATCCCTGCCTCGACACTGCATCATTCCTCAGTATGAGATTCTTGACAATAACCACACAAGACCCAATCCCAAGAAACCAAGTAGATTATCCAAACTAGAGCCAAAATACAACAAGCAAAAAACTGATTGGACAGTAACCAAATTGACGCCAGTGACCAGCTCCAATGATAAGCCAGCAAAGTATCAGAGGAAAAATGAGGCAGATGTCTTTCTGAAGAAATTGTCTCCTTTCAGACAACGTCAGGAGGGGATGGAGTTCTCTGAGTCTCTGAAGCTGGATACAATGGTTTTGGCTAAGGGTGTAACTCTGAGGGATCCCAAGATGGTAGCAAGTAACCCTCTCACGTAGGGCTGTGATGGTATCCACATTACTGCAATGACTTTTTACTGTTAATGTTTCTTTTTTCGTATTCATATAAAAATATTTATATATGTATGTATATATATTTTCAGATCTGTAGTCCACATATAAGTGGCCATTGGTGGAAATTGAGCTGTGGAAGATAGTGGTTGTTTGTTGGTTCATGTAATAAATGAGAAACAACATTTTACATAGTAAGAAAAATGACAAAATGGAACAGATTCAGCTTGCTATTGCTGTTGGCCTTCTGTATAGAGAGGCAGAAGAGAAGAGCCAGAATGCAACGGAGGTTGGAGAGGAGGCGTGCCCTATTAGCATGTCTCTCTATCTTTGTATGTTTCGTAACAGTACACTCTCTTATCTGTTAAATCATTTCTTTGGATTTTACAGTTTATTTTCTACACCTACATAACAAATAAGTGAAGTTCCATATCACATATCATCAATATTTGATGTTTAAGAAGGCAGCAGTGGAGCCTTGCACAGCTCCAATGCCCCAGGCAGAGCACACAGCTCAGGGTCAAGGACCCAGGGACCAGGGTGCTCCACTAAGTCTGCTTACAGTTCATTAAGGGTCTTTTGGACCTGGTGTGTGTGAGTGGGGGGTTGTCTGGCTTGTCTGGGTGAACATGACTACATCTAGACAGTAAAACTCAGTCATGTTCAGTAGTCATGTTCACTAGTAGTTTGAAAAATGTAAAACATATTTTAGTTTGTATTGTACATTTGATAGATGGATGTCATGTGTGTCAATGGTTGCAAGAAAGAGAATATCCTTTGTATGTTTGAAGGTCTACCGCACTACTTAAGATGTCAACCTCCAGCTTATGTTAGCAGATGTAAGCGACCACCAGCGGAGGTTCGAAACATATCTTCAGTTGTGTACCTTAGGATCATCAAATGATTTGGGCACAGGTCCTTCCAGCTGATCTCACTTTTCTCTATACTTTCCCATCATCCACTGTCCCTGTATTGCTTGAGTAAAATACTGCAATTTTTAAAAGCACCCCCATTTTGATCATGTTAAACCAAAGTTTGAACGACTTAAGACTTTAACCAAAAATGATCCTTGTGGTGCATCCCAAGGTTACACCAAGCTCTTTAGAATCCATATCAGCTGATGAGTCAGTCATCACCATGGGTCAGGAAATGATCATAGATGCTAAACACTCAATACCTCATCATCAGTGGCATCCTAACCTCCACTCAGAGACATCATTTGAAAAAAGAAGTTTAAAGATCAACAATTTTATTTTTATTTTTGTAAATTGTGTATACTATATTCTCGTGATACTGGCACAGTGTTGAAGATATAATTAAGAACTATTTATCACTTGGTTCTGTTATTTTATGCTATTTTACTTTTGCTTTAAGTTGTTTTGTTTTTACAACTGAAGGTTCTTATGTCACACGAGCACAATTAATGCTTATGGTTTTAAAGTTAATGGTGAAGTGGATCAATAATCTGGCTTTAAAGCACTGCCTTAAGTCTGCATTGCCACTTTCCCGTCTCCAAAATGTTCGTACGTAAGGGTTGCATACAACTGTGCACATTCTCCCATCAAGTTGGTTTTCATAAATGTCAATGTTTGCGTGAGAAGTGGCATATGCACCAAATGGGGTCTGAAAGATGCATACATAATGGTTATAAATGAGGCCCCTGAGCTTTAGCTTGTCAGGGAGCATGGACTGGTCGATGTTCTTAATGTATATTATGATTTCGCACTCAACAAATAAATTGAAAAAATGTAATTGAAAAGGCCACTGCTGACCTCTTTTGTTTCTTCTTCGTCTTTGTTTGGTTTATTGGTGGGTGGCCACCAACATCAAAGTGCTTTAAAGCCATCTACTGTGTCAATCTGTTTACAGTTTTTGAGGCTTGCATACTTCTTGAAATTGGTTCACCTTTGATGTAGCAACTTAAATCTCGTCTTTTAACTTTGATGATGGAGATGCTTCTTAATTTTGACCAATCTTGGCCCATGTGATAGTTGTTAATCATCAACATTATCTCATTCTTTATCATCAAACATTTGTTATTTGCCAGTTTCTTTTAATTTTCGGTTGATTCAGCCTCTAAGCAAAGATGCCCCGCTCTGCAGTCAAATGCCAAGCCAGCAAGAGTAGACGTATGTCACCTGTCCCAGTGGCCCCACCTGCAACTCAGGAGCTGGAAATTATTCCTGGTCGCTTAACCCAAACCCAGTGGATGAATACGTTGGTCCACGAGGACGCTGATGAGATAGTGGGGGACACTATGGATGAACTGTTGAGCAAAGTTATGGATGGCTGTTTGAAGGTGTACATTGAAAGAGAGGTAAAAATGTGAAGGTCCACATTTGTTTTATTTTGATTTTACTTTATTTTACCACTTTATGAGATAATATAATACATGCATATGTAACATCCATGATGTTGCTTATCCTTGCTTTTCAGCTAGTACCTGTGTCCGCATCTTGGGCCAAGAACTACCTCACACAGATTTTAGAGCAACAAATCATTTGCCCAGATGAGGGAGAAGGACCAGAGGTAGCATCTAAAACTGAGAACTCAGAGCCAATGCCAGCAGTCTGCGATTCCTGGGCTCGAGGATGTATGCCTGTTGTCATTGCTACTCCTCAATTATCTCACCCTACTTCTGCACAACAGGTATGCTACTATCGATAGGTCTTCCTTGTATCCA